TGGTTAGAGCAAATGGCATTACAACCCAAGAAAAAACTCTTTCTCTAAATCTACATGATATCCAGTGGCCCGCTTATTTTATGGGGCATTTGAGGAATAACACATTTCAGAGCAAACTGTGTGCCACCGTGTCGGTGGCAGTCATGTTTGACCTGCACTGCCATCTGAACGTGATGGCTTGCCTCGGGCAAGTGCTTTCTCTCCACAAGCGTTGATTGAGCCACTGCTCCCAGGGCCTGTAAATCCTACTTAATGTCAGGGTTTGGGGAGCTCTCCAGAGTGAGGGGCCCCTCAGGAGGGAGGCTGGCTGGGGCATGAGGGGCAGCATGTGGGGAGTGCGCAGAAGGGTGCTGCCACCTTTCCCTAGGCCTGCAGTGGGGCTGGATGAAATCAGCACGCCGGATGCGCAGTGCATCCAGTCCTGCCCCGATTCCTGATCCTGACCAAGAAGCGTCCCATCCCCCTGCCTCCTGAGCCAAGAGGCAGGGGGATGGGGAATCTAGTGGGACGCAGCTTGGTTTGGGCCCTGGTTGTCCTCTTTACAGGGCATGTGACATGGGGCCAGGAATGTGACCCTGTTGAACCTCCGTTCTGGCCTTGGTCCTGTTCTGCCTGTCCATGTCGAGGTCGGAGGGGCCTGTGCCACAGTGAATGTGTGTCCACTTTGAGGACTCCCCATGAAATCCCAAAGAGGTTTGTCTCTGTTATTATGAGAGACAGGGAACTGCAGGAAACCAGGTCGGCTCCCTGAGCTGCGTGGCTCAGGTCTAGCCAGAGCTGTGCTCGGTTGGGGAGAGGGATACAGGGCCCAGGCTTGTGGGCAGGGACTGCGTGAGACCTCAGCAAGTTCTAGCAGTATGGGTGCCAGAGCCTTCCGCTTGTTCTCTGCTGTTTCTCCCCCGTCAAATGTCTTTACTGAGGCCTGTGTGCCTTTCTCGGTGGCTGTGGCTGCACCACCGCTCCAGTGAGTACACCCGTGGCCATTTCTCCTGCACTCTTGACCCTAATGCTTCTTGTGTGATGCCACCAGACTTCTTGGCTTCCAGGTTTAAGAGGGCACCACGCTGCTGCCCAGGGAAAGGAGCAGAAAATGAGGAAGGGACCCTTTCCCAGTGATTTTGCTTTCCCTCTTTCCCTTGCTTCCAACACCACGAACACATTGACTCATTTGTTAAGTCCTCTAATACCTCTGAAATAATTTCAGCATTGTCTCATCCATATCACTACAAAAAACAAACCCCCTAAAGGGAGTTCAGCCTTTACGCCAGCCCTGCCCGGGCCTGAGAGTCCGCAGTCAGATGTCCTCCACACGGACTTGGATTTTGTCTTTCTTCTGAAGTGTGGTCCCTCGTATTCATTTGAAATACTATCAGATTCATTTGGCTCAATTCACTTCCACTTTTTCTTCCCCCATCCCACCCTTATTGATTTAATTAGACATTTTTTAATGTGTCGAATGTACATGATTCTAAAATCAAAACTGTAGAAACAGGTATATTCGGTGTCACCACTCCTACCGTATCTCCTCTGCTTCATTGTCCCCATCCCTTATTTTCTGCTTTATCATCCAGATATATCCTGCATTAATAGGCATGTTCTCTTATCTTTCTTTTGCAAGTAAAGGGTAGCATACTATGTGCTTTTTTGTCCAAACCTCTCTTCTATCTTCTTCCTTTCGGTTGCAGACCAGGAGCAGAATTCTGCCCTGGAACAAATAGGCTTTTGTCACGTGTGAGTCCTGGTCACTGAGCATCTGTGGTTCCCGCCAATAGCTTTGTTAAATCAACTTTTGGAATAGTGTCTTTTATTTCATCCCTTGGCAATAGGCTTCTAAAATGTCAAATTCTTATGTAAAATGGAAATCTGTCTTTTTCATCATCTACTGGAGTTGATAGATGATCCAGGGGATTCAGGTGAGATTTTCTGGAATGGAAGGTCGGGTGTATGGGGATGAGTTATTTTCAGCTGAGCAGCTTAGTGGCACCAGATTGCCAGGGCACAGGCTGGCTCAGTGAGGTCACTCTGAGCCCCAGTTCTGCGGGATCATGCGGCTTGGGGCCCATTCAGAGCTGTTTGCAGTTTTTCCCCCTTTGGTGTTTGAGAAAGCTCCTCCAATTGCCCTTTTTATGCCCAGATTTAACAGCTAAATGTCACACATTTGAACTTCACATTTGCACAGTGCTTGGAGATTTTCACGGTGTCTTATGGAATGTCTCATCAATCCCTATGAAACAGCAGAGCATGTATTATGTCTGTTTTTCAGATGAGAAAACTGAAACTTAAAAAAATGGCAGAGTTGCTGGGACTAGAATCTAGGTCTTCGGACTTGGAGCCCAGAGTGGCCTCGGAGGACCAAGGGGCATCTGGGCTTATCACAAAGGCCACACGTCTCTGTACCTTCTCTTCTGCCCTATCTCTGCCAGCAGGAGATTTATGCCTTACAATCTGAGTTCTGTCCAAATCAGTAAATGTTACCTGCCTACATTCAGAACTGTCTAAAATCAGTTCAGAGGTTTTACATGAAACAGCTTTGTTACAATAACTCTTTAAATAGTGGCTATTATTTAAAATAAGTAGGCTACAAGCTAGGACCTGGCAGTTTCCTGTTCTCAGAAGTTTTCATTGTAGTAGGATTTTTCCTGTGTACATTTTATTTTTGTGTCCCAAGGATGAGCAGCAGTGAAGCGGCTTGTTCGAGAGGGGTTTTTGCATTTCTAATGTAAGTACACCTAGTAAAAGATGATAATAAGGCAAAAAAATCCCCTTTTATAAAAAGCCCCTCAGTTTTCCAGGGTAACTCTTTTACTGTCTTTTTCAGGAACACCGATCAGATTTTGAATCCAGAATAATACCCTGTTTGTATGTAATCATGTAAATTTAGCACTCCAAGTTCAGAATCAAAACACTTTGCACAAAGACCTGTACCTGGACGCTTTGGTAAATGATAGGATCAAAGGCCCACAGGCTTGTTCTTGACCGTGTATTGAAGATTAACTACATGATGCGTTTTCCTGCTGACACGTGACCCTCCAGGGCCTCCACTTGTTCAGGGATGTCATTCTGGATTTGGTGTGACTTTTTCAGAGTTCAGATCAATTTGGTGAACCCCCTCCAGGACTGAGGAATGCATGTCCTGTATCTCAGGAAGCCTGGGACGCCTCGATGCCCCAAATCATCTTCTTAGGGTAGAGTTGGCATGAGCAACAAGATACTGCCTGTGAAGGCCGGCCCCTCCTTCCTCCCACTAAAGTATCGTTGATACGCAATATTATACTGGTTTCAAGTGTACAATATAGTGGTTCAGTAGTTGTCTACATTATTAAATCCTCACCCCAACTAGTGTAGCTACTACCTGTCAAAATAGAGAAATGTTTAAGAACTATCGACGATCTTCTCTATGCTATACTCTTTATCCCTGTGACTCATTTATGTTATGATTGAGATTTTTGTGCTTCTATAAGGCCCTCTTTGAGGCAGGAAGCTACCCTCCCCAGGAGGAAAGACCCCTGGGCTGGGAGCACAGAAAACATCTGTGGGTCCTGGTCAACCTCTGCTTACCCTGCAAGTCCTGCGGCGTCGGCTCCTCGTGTGCTGGGGCCCGATGCCCTGCAGCCTGGCCCCCTCCTCACTTCCCAGGTGGGGACAGACCAGCCCTGATGGGCCAAGGACAGGCTCTGGGGTATCCGAAAGTGGGTGACTTAGGAGCAGTGGTGTCCTTCTGTCTGTAGGCAGAGGGTGGCACCTTGCAGGGGTGGGTGGGGGAGGGTGTGGGGATCTGGTTCTTTTGTGAAGCATCAGTGTCACTGGGTGCAAGTATCTGTTCAGTCCTGAGTTGAAAGATGGGGGGGAAGAGAGAATTGGGGTTGGCTTGATGTAAGCAGGTCATTTCCCCCTTTGTCAGCTGGGTTGGGTTAATGAGGCCCCTGAAAGGGAGGTGTGCAGAAGACGACAAAATATGTACATATATATATATATATATGTCAGAATCCAGGGGTCTGTGTGCAGGAGCTTCCCCGCCTATAATCTCATCTGCTTTTCTTAGCAGCTTTTTAATCGTACTTAATGAATCCATAAGTCGCATAGCTTGGCTCCTGTAACACTTCCTGGTTGGAAATGCAGATGGCTCCCTGTATGTGAAGACTGGGTAATCATCCACCTGACTCTCAGACTTGCCTGAGCAAACGAGGGTTCTGTGTATGTGCACAGAGGAGATTGCAGACCCAAACGGGAGAGTAAACAGCGAGCAGTTGGGAACGTTTGCAAGTCTGCCAAAGCCTTTTCAGGGCAGGTGTTCCCATCAATGGGCAATAAACATACTCTTTACCCCACCCCCGCAGGAAGACTTTTGGGGGAAAGACTGTGGCAAGAAGCAAGCGTTGAGAAAAATAGTAATGCTTCACCTGTGTTCCATGTCCTGTGTGAGGAGGGAGTGTGGGGTGGGAGGTGGGTCTGCCTGAGCCTGCCCACGGCTCTGGCCAAACCTGCAGGTGGGGAGCAGGGGAACCAGGGGTGGGCACCGGGTGGGGCAGCTCTGCACTCAGGGGTCTTGGTTTAGTAAGACAAGGGGGTCTGCACGTGTTAAGAATGCTAAGTTGTATCTGAAAGCATTGAGGAAGCCCAAAATTCGTGGCCCTCTTGGACCACAGCTTGGCGCTCCTGGGTCCTTTCTGAGCATCCGAGTGCAGGCCCCGGTGGGGGTGTCGAGGGGCCCACCATGACAGCCCGTGGCTCTGCGGGCCCACTGAGATCCTGCAGGGAGTCCGTTTTCAGCGAGGCGGTGCATGCGTGTTGGTGTGATCTGCAGCTCTGACACCCGCGGTCTTGCTTGGGGAGACACTGCCCATGTCCCGTCCATGTGTGTGGTCCCTCTTGCTGTGCTCGTGTGGCTGCACTCCGTGCCGTGTGTCCTGCCACAAGGCTGGTGTGCAGCGGGGCAGATGGCTCGTGGCGCGGGTCCCGGCGCTGTCCTGACACCTGCTTGTCATCTTTGCCTCCCTCAGAGAATTCTCAAAGGAAAGAGAAAAGGCAAAAGCTCGGGGAGATTTCCAGAAGCTCCGGGAAAAGCAGCAGCTGGAAGAGGATCTCAAGGGCTACCTGGACTGGATCACCCAGGCAGAAGACATTGACCCCGAGAATGAGGAGGAAGGTGGCGAGGAGAGCAAACGAAACAGTACGTAGCACCCTTCTGGTTGTGCCTTCAGAGCTCGTGGGTGACTTGCATACCTGCCCCGCAGCCACGGGGGGCCAGGGCAGCCCCACAGCCTGCGGCTGCAGAAGGCCTGGCTCCCGGGAATGTGTCGTGGCGGGTGCACTCTCCCACTGGGAGGGCACACAGGGCTCTCAGAACAGGTGTCGTGAGCCCACAGGAGGCAGGGGCTGGGCTGGAGGGCACCTTGGTGCGCCTTCTCTGGAGTTGGCTGCAGTTGAGTTTTGTGGCTCAGAATTTGGACTTGAGTCTTAGGCCCATTGCCCATGCATGGAAGCCCCAGCTTCCCTGTCTGCAAGGAGGGGGTAAAGGTATTTGCCCGTGAGGTTGGTGTCGGTGACAGGTAGGAGTCACCAGAGCTGTGGGGGCACCTGCTGGTGGGGTCACCATGCTCCAGTGACACTTTGGGGACCGTGTCCCTGTCCTCTCTGTTCAGAAGCTGTAAGGGTCTGAGGGAAAGTATTGAGGGAAAACAAACCTGTTGTCTCAGGTACTTTTGGGGTGTGGAGGCACAGCTTCCTGGCCTGGGATGTCCATTTCCAGTTTGCCAGTGTTCGCTGTCAGAGAACAGATGTCAGAGAACAGAGAACAGGTGTTTCGAGATGCGCTCACATCATCTCTTCTCTCTGATCTTTTAAATGCCACTGTCGGCGTCTGCAGTCCCAGCTCTGGCCAGACATGGCAGTCACCTGGGCAGTGTGCACCCATCCTGATGCCATGGCCCCGCCCAACCTCACGGCGATCAGTTGGCCTGCGGTGGCACCCAGGCCTGCAGGTTCCAGTGTGAAGCCAGGCTCGGGAAGTCCTGAATGCTGCCACCCTGCCTCAGGCCTTCCCTAGAGAGAAGAGAAAGGAGGGGTGGCCAGGCCCCTTGCTGGGCTGCCTGGTTGCTGCAGTGACGGGCAGCCTCAGCTTTGTGGGTTCACGGAATGTCTAGAACGTCAGCTCCTTAAATTTGCTGTTAGAAAGCTGGTATTAACGCAGTGAACTGAATGGACAAAATTCCCTTGGAAGTTAGTTCCTGAACATTGGGGAAATTTTCAAGGATAATTTATTTAACTTTCTGCTGAGCTTCCAGTTTCTTAAGAAACCCTGCCAAATCTCAGAGACTTTTTAGACGTACGCAGCTGCTTCTGAGTTAACAATGGAGTTTTTCTAGGGCCATTAAAATCTGGAAGCCTAAAATTCTATTTTAAACTTCTCATTGTCCGTGATTAGTCTTTAAGAAAAAGAAAAAAAGAGTATTAAAAATAATGAAATCATTTTAAAGGCATTCATTCTAAAATTCTGACCAGAAAGGCAGGGCAGTTTCACCCTGGGAACTATTAATAATCAATAGTCCCTGTAAGTGGTTGGATATTTGATGCCCAAAGACACAGAGGGGATCCCTGAAACTCTTTCTGTGACCACAGAGAGAGCCTGTCTGTCCTGTCAGAGGCCCCAGAGGCCCTGAGCACTGCCCCTGCCCCCTCCCACCAGGCCTCTGCCCCTGCGGGTCCCAGTGGGCACTGTGGTCATGACTGTCACCCCACCCTTCTGCGTGTGCCCCCAGATGTTTGATTTGGGGGTGGGCACAGAACCAGGGGTGGCCCAGCATTTGCAAGCACAGGGTATGGACATTTGCTGGTTGCATTTAAAAGGTCAGGTCTTGAAAATTTGATTTATAAACCCACGTCCATCACAATTAAACTACTTCAGGACACAAGTTCAAAAATGGAAGACATTGAATGAAATGCTGTGAAGCCAACAGCAGTGGTGGTAAGTGTGCGTTCAGTACAACTGTCCTCCAGGGAGAGGCTGCTGGAAGCGCCCGTTGGGGGGCCCGGCGCCAGGGGCCGCGGGAGGTGCTGGGAGCAGTCATCCACCCTGGGCAGGCCTTGGAATCGCTGGACAGAGGCCGACTCAGGGATGGTCGCCCCAGCTTGGAGACGAGGTGGAGCGCAGGGCACTCTAGCCAGGTTTCTGGAGTCCCAAGTCAGAGATGTGTTTGTTTGTTTTTATTATATTTTAATTACAAAACGAATATTTGCCCATTGCAGTGAAATCACTGTACACAGTGAATATCAAACTGTACAAAGTAGGAGGTAACATTTTCCCGTCCGTCTTCTTGGAGGGACCCAGACTCAGTGGTTGGGGCCCTGTTCTTGCTGATCCCACCTGTTCATGTAAGGACGGGTGACACTCCACGGGCGAGTTGCTCATAGGCCCCTGCCGTAGATCGCCCCACACCAATGGTTCTGCGACTTGCCTTCTTCACCGAACCGTGTGCCATAGACGTCTTTCCATGTTTTTTAAACAACATTTTGCCTATTTTCAATGACTTGCTCTTATAAAAGCTGCCCCAGTAGACTACATACATCACGGGGATCTGTACCTTACAGCGGCCGTCAGACCTGTGGTTCTGTGAGGCTGTTTGTGAGCTTGGTGAATGTCTTCCTCCACCATGAGACCGTGAGCTCCGTGGGGGTAGGGTGGGACTGTCTGTCTCACCGTGTGGCTGCCACCTTGAGGGGGTCTTTGTCATGGGCAGCGGCTCCCAGGGGTTACTTGCTGAATGAAAGAACAGAATAATGACAGCCGTGTTCAGCAAGTGCTTCCTGGGCCGGACTGTGTTCTGAGGGCTGCAGGCACATCCTCGCATGGCCTCTGTGTGAAGGGGACTCAGGCAGACAAGGAGACTGCAGCACAGGAGGCGAGAACCTCTCAGGGCCACATGCCTGCAAAGCTGGGATTTGGACCCAGGCTCTGCTGCAGCCTGCACATTAGCCACACCCAGAAATCCCCACAAACACCACACCCGTCTCACGCTCATGCTCACGTTCTCTCTGGTGGAAGGGATACCAGAAGGGGTTTGGCCGAGCTGGAGGATGCTCACCTTAGAATTGGGGGCGTTAGGCCAGGTGGCACCAGGGCACCCTCCCATCAGTCTGGCCAGGGCCAGCCTCCCCCACACCCGTACCCCAGCCTCGCTCCCACCGCCCCAGCCTGCTCTGCAGGTCCCTCCCCTCCTGAGGTCTGCCAGCCTGGAGTGACCATCCTATCATGGAGCCGGAAGCAGTTAGAACCCCTAGAATATTTTTCTTGTGACCCAGTGGCCGTAGGGAATGTGCAGTTGTAACTGACCATGCCTTGCTAATGCTCGATTTACCGCGTTTACTCTTTACCTCTTAAACCACCCTGTGAAGTGCAGGCCTGACCGTTAGCATCCTGAGAGCAAGAAAAACTAGAGCTGAGCCAGTCCAGTAGCTTGTCCATGGCCGTCCGGCCTGGAAGTGGCAGGGCCGAGATTAGACCTGGTCTGTCCCTGTCCAGGGCCCACCTTTCAACACCCTGATGTCCTGCCCCCTGACACCCACTCGGTGTCTGCTCCATAATGCCCTTTTCGGGGGGCAGGCCAGACGCTGGAAACCTTTGTCTCCAGTGGGATAGCGGGTTCCTTAGTGAGGGCGGGCCCTTAAGGACGGGCAGTCTGCATGCCAGCTCTAGAAAGTGCACTTCTGCATCGCCGCTCAGATCCCGGCCTGCAGGTTTCCACCCACAGGAGGAGGACGGATTCCGCGTGGGGGGTCGTGGGGCACCATGGCCACGGCCGCCTCTTGTGCCCTCGGGCCCTCTTAGTGTTGCTCGTGCTGCCCTCTGCTGAGCCATAATGAAACTGCCTGTGTTCAACCTGAAGGGGTCACAGTGGCCGACTTGCTAAGAGAGGATAAGAAGAAAAGGAGGCTCGGCTGCTTCCGCCAGCGCAGGGCCAGAGAACACGGTAAACGGCCGGCGGGGCCTCCTCTCCGGGAGGCTCTTCTCCGGGACGCCTTTCGGTGCACACAGGCATGGTGTGAAGTGCATGTGTCTGCGTGGTGTGTCTATAAGGTGCCCCTGTTTTCATTGCTTGATTTCTTTGAAACTCGGTCAAGTGTGTTCTCCTTTTCTTGAGACTTGGTTGTTTTTGCCCAGACAGCATTGCGGTTTCCTTTGTGTTTGAACCATACCTTTTAGAGAAGCAGCTGAACCAACTCAGAAAATCTATTTAGTTCAGCATGAATATTCTTAGTCTGGAAGACAGACTTTTTAAACACTTTTTCCCAAATGATGCTTTTTCATCTAAACTGTTTAGAAATTCCAATGACGTTACTTGCCTGGTCTTTTTTTTTTTTTTAATCCAGGTTCCATTTTGCAAATGGCCTCTTGGTCTTCCACTTCCCAGCTGGTTTGCCCAGCACCGTGCTAAAGTCAGAAGTGCTGTTTTAAGAATGATGTTTGCACGTATGTCTAGGGTGCAAGGATTTGGGGGCCCTTTCCTTTGCTAGTGGGAATGAGGGGAGGGCTCCTGCAGGAGACAGCTGCGTGTGAAGCTGTGCTTTAAAATAATGCTACACATTAGCTCCTTATTGGAAACCCTGGGTAGCGTGCCTGGCACTTAGGCAAACAGCTGGCATCCTGCCCTGGTTGCCCACATCACCACTGTACCCCCTGCAGCACAAGGCCTTGCCCGGCACGCCACTCAGTCCACCTGGTTACTGCTTTCAAGATGGGTCCTGGGGAAAGGGTCTATCTGAGACGATTGAGACTGAAGGGCCACGCAGCCAGCTGCTAAGAGAGCAGAGGGGACGCGCTGCCCTGCTCTCTGAGGAGTGGCCTCTGCCATCCGTGGGAATGCTGAGCTCTGGGGTTACGGGAATTGGACAAGCCACAGCTGGTCAGACGGAAGGTTGTACTAGAGTCCTCGCACCAGGAGACCTGAAAGCTGAGAGGATCAGAGCGGGCGTCAGATGTCATTCCCGGAGCACGCAGTGGCCCCGAGAGGAGAAGAAGCTTGCATGAAGGTGGCAGAGTCGGGGCAGAGACAGGGCTGACTTGTTCAGCCTCAGTGCGCAGAGGGCTCGCCAGGAAGACCCGGGCAGGATGAGGCTCCAGGCGGCCTCCGCGGGAACAACCACCTTCAGCTGAGCGGGAAATACCGTCCTGGA